CTGAAAGCGGTTACGTAACTCAAGCTGAAAAGTTTCGGGATTCTGGATTAGAGTACGAGGGGGACGGAGCGTTGACTTCATTAGACGAGACCTCTCCAACTTAAGGTTTAGGTTCAGTGTGCCTCTAACCATTCGGTGATCGCTGCCAGTTTTCACCCTTGCGATCACCGAGACATCACTGAACAGTTGGCGTCTGGTCGTCATAATGAAGTCAATCTCGTTTTTGTCGAACCGTCGGGGCTCGACCAGGTCCACTTTTTGTGGGGCCGCTTCTGGAAGAAAGAGTTCATCATAAAAATTCACTCTTTCTCCATGAAATTGGACAGCTACTGCTCCCTTGGGTTCCGTTGCCCTATCCCAAATTTCCCTGCCTTCAGCTCACCGTTCTTTTTTGTGCCCAGTTGCTTATCTCCCATTAACATCGTATAGTTAGTTTTGGAGAAATGCATGGCTCTAGAAATATCCTCGTATATTTCCTCGACCTCCTCATCGGGATGTGCCGACGTTGGCGCGTAAATCTGTATGACCTTCACCGAATACCGTTTGGTGATTTTTTTAATTAAGTGCGAGCTGCTATGCAGGTCTAGGGAAAGAGACTAGTATCACTGCGACCTAGAAGATCTATTGTGATCGCTGCTATGGATATAGTTCACGGCTAAGCCCTATGTCTTCAATGAATAGAAGGAGTTGCTTAGCCGTGAGCAATTTCACTTTTTCTGGGCGGAGTACATAGTTTCCCAGATGAGTGTTACGTTTGCGGATTAAGGGTCCGCAATCAGTTAGGATGTGTAGAGGCGTTTCTTCCGTTATGGAACAGAACCGACACATCCTTGAGTTGCTTAGTCCCAGGGTGGACATGTGTTTTTAAGACAACAGTGTCCAGTTAGGGCTCTTGCCAGAATGCACAATTTATTTTTACTTAATTCCAGGGCTTCTGAAGCGAATTTACGATCAAAAGCCCGGATTAAGGTTTTAGAATGTTTCAAGCCTGGTGTGTCAGATCAGATCTTAAGTGATTTATTGTGATATAGAGTTTCAAGGGTCAATCGGGCTAGGCTTCTTGAGATTCCACAAAATGGCTCAGGTCCAAATTGTGTGCACTTTGAGCCCTCCCGTGCAAGTTTGTCGGCAAATTCGTTGCCTACAATACCCTCGTGACCTGGAACCCATCTGCAGTTTCCAACTAGCTTGGAGTTCACTAAGTTTGACCTCAGCGCTAGCAGTGCTGCTTGACTATCAGAGTTTATGTAAATTATATACCGTTTGGGGATTCTAATATACGCAACCCTCGTCGATACACTCCCAATCTTTACCACGTTGTTAACGAGAGACTTGTGGACGATAAATCCAACACCTTCTTGGGACAGATGGTCGCCCTACCGGTGATAGATCAAGTGCCGGATTCGAGAATCACCGTGTCCTCCAACTCTCTTCGGACTTTGCATAATCCTATAATATTCCAGTGCAACTTGTCTATCTCTTCTTCCAGCTCCAGGATCTTCTCGTCAGTCCTCAGGGTGTGCGCATTATATGTTGCCAGCTCGAGTCACCGTAGGTGGCAATCGAACCTCCACCGGAGCTTCTTAGCACCCCTTCCCCGCCGTTACCATGGTCGCCACCGTAGCCAGGAATAGCAGGGCCGCCGGGGACTGAGGGCCGTCTATTTGCGTCGTTTCTCATGGGGGGGGGGTATATTGCCATATTTACCATGCTTGGCGAACGGGTTAGCAACCGCAGTTTTTTTTGTACAGTTGCTGCTATCAGGAAGATGCTGCTGCCCATCTCCTGCCTGTTTCCCTCTATCACCTGTTACGACACCCACAGGACTATATGGGGTAGTGGATATTCTTAACCGCCACTACACGGCACAGCAGCATTGAGCTGCAATTTGATGCTGATATTTTGTGAGAGCGTGATCCCGGTCGAGCTGACTAATTCGTGCTACAACATTAATATAGCTGCAGCATGGCTCTACCACGTAAATAACAATGATGACGACGACAGCTCAACAAATTTAATAAAGATATTGATTAATTTGCAACCTTCCGCTAACTAAATCTAAGGCAGACAGGCACATAGGCAGAATTGGTGAGAAACTAGTTCGCCTTCCTTCTGGAACCCGTGCATTCTGGTCTCTCGCCAAGGCTGTCCAGGGGAATTTCTATCAGCCATCTTTTCCATCTCTGCACAGGGAGGATGACTCACTGGCCTATACCGCAAAGGAGAAAGCAGATCTTCTAGGGTCTTTCTTTGCGTCCAACTCAACTCTCGATGATGGGGTGAGTACGCCGCCGACCATCCCGCGGTGTGAGTGCTCCATGCCGAAAGTGCAGTTCACAAAGTGCGCTCGGTTCGCAAAGCACTCCTCTCCCTGGACATCCACAAGTCGAGTGGGCCTTATGGAATCCACCGCAATTGTGCTGAGGACGTGTTCTCCAGAGTTGGCACCAGTTTTAACGCGAATTTTCCGGTATTCTTACACCCTAGGCGTAGTCCCGAAATCATGGAAGACGGCTTTCGTCCGCTCGACCCCTAAAAAAGGCGACCGCTCAGACCCGTCCAACTACCGGCCTATCGCCATCACCTCCTTGTTCTCCAAAACAATGGAGTCTATTGTTAACTGCCAGCTCATGAGGTAACTTGAGGATCACCAGCTGATTAGTGACCGTCAATACGGTTTTCGCCATGGTCGGTCAGCTGGTGATCTTCTGGTCTACCTAACTCACAGATGGGCGGAGGTAGTAGAGTCCAACGGGGAGGCATTGGCCGTTAGTTTGGACATTGCGAAGGCCTTCAATCGGGTTTGGCACAAAGAGCTTCTTTCGAAGCTCCCTTCCTATGGGCTTCCCGAGAAATTGTGCGATTGGATCACCAGCTTTCTTGCAGATCGGAGCATCAATGTCCTTTTAGACAGTGCAAGCTCCGATTACAAGCCTTAATGCTGGTGTTTCAAAAGGCTACGTGCTATCGCCGACGCTGTTTCTTCTGCATATCAATGATATGTTGCAAGCCCGTAACATTCATTTCTATGCAGATGACAGCACTGGTGATGCTCTGTACACCGGCCGTGCCAATATTTCTCGGGAAAACGTCTCCGAGTACCGGGACAAACTTGTGTCTGAAGTCGACTCTCTGCTGAACAGAGTCTCAGATTGGGGGCGACTAAATCTAGTCAAGTTTAACCCCCAGAAGACACAAGTTTGCGCGTTAACCGCAAAAAAGAACCCCTTTGTCGTATCTCCTCAGTTTCAAGGCACTCCCCTTGTTGCCTCAGCCAGTATCGGAATCCTCGGCGTCGACATATCGAGTGACGTGCAGTTTCGTGGTCACTTGAAAGAGAAGGCCAAATTGGCCTCTAAAAGGCTTGGCGTGCTCAGCACAGCGGAACAGTATTACATGCCGGCACACCGCCTCCAACTTTACAAGACGCAGGTTCGGCCGTATATGGAATACCGTTCCCATCTCTGGGATGGAGCTCCCCAGTACCAGCTCCTTCCACTTGAGCGCATCCAGCGCAGAGCGGCTCGAATCGTCGACGACCGAGTGCTTTCCGATCGGCTCGATTCACTGGCGCTGCGAAGAGATGTTGCATCTATTTGCATTTTCTTTCGCATATATCATGGGGAGTGCTGAGGAATTGTCCAGATTAATCCCAGCCGCCAAATTTCGTGAACGCACTACGCGGCAAACATCCCGATACCATACACACCATCTGGATGCTTGGCGGTCTACCACTGTACGTTTCAAAAGGAGTTTTCTTCCGCGTACGACCTCTCAGTGGAATAGTGTACCACCAGCGATCTTTCCGGACCGATACAACCTGGGGACCTTCAAGAAAAGAGCTTACTCCTTTCTAAAGGGCCGGCAACGCACATGCAATTCTCCTGGTGTTGCGGTTGATCATGGGCGGCGGTAGTCACTTAACATCAGGTGAGCCGCATGCTCATTTGCCCCCTCTTCTATAAAAAAAATACAATGATGTGTCTTACCTGGATTGAAGAGCACCTCCCGCCCTCCCTCAATTGCGTGCACTAATTCCGTCACCACTAGTCCCAGCACCACTACTCCCAACACCACTACTCCCGGCACCACTACTTCCAACACCACTATTCCAGGAAAGACACACCATCGACGATAATACGACACGTGTTTCGCCTCTATACGAGGCATCCTCAGGTAAAGTAGACGCTATGGCGGCTGACCGCTAAGTCAAGAAGAAGACGAAAACTGTTTGGATGGTTTAATGTACGAATGGGCGTGGAAGCTATTGATATGAACGGAGCAAGTGAACAGTTTAATTACAATAGATTCCTTTTTGAGGTTTTTTTTGTAAGGCTGTACCTATTACAAGTTTAGTATGGAAAATGGGCTTTATTCAAAAACACATGTTCACGTTGTCAGGAGTGGCGGAACTATATTGCCTAAAAATTGTTTTGTATTTGCAGATGACGATTATGCTCATCCCTCAACATCACACGATGACGCGTGAAACGTCAGGACGGCCGTGTCGGAGGAAGTAGTCTGAATCAAGTTGATTGCTGGTTTTCATCGCGTGATATCGATTGTTCTCTAAGAAATAATGCTCTGTTAAATAAAATTTATTTTATTTTATTTTATTTGTTAGATTTTGTTATTGTGTAGAGTCTTATGTAATCTTATTAAAGTTACTGTATTGTACTTCATATATGTTACGACCAATCAGAGCAGAGGGTAAGCCTCGAGTGGGGTCGAGGCGCCATTTTGACGGTTACCGCACGATTACTTTTTTAGTGTTTGTGGATCGTGGTCAAAAGAGGCATTCCTTTTTTGGTGTTCGTACAATGAAGTCGTGAAATCGGTGTCGCGAACCTGCTGCTCGTACTTTGTTCATATTAAACGTTTTAAATTTAAAATAAGTAATTGCAAAGTAGTAATTCCTTTAGTGACTTTCAAAATTGTTAAACTTTAATTAAATTGTACAAATACGGTGAATACTTTGTTTTTGCTCGCATTTAACCCTAATGACGCCCACTAGACCCATGGCCACCAATGACGATATCGAGGAGAGTTGTGTTTCTCCGACATCAGAAGTGGGATCGGTGCAGGCACAAAACGCGGATAGATGGATCGAGGCGAACGACGGTTTACGCGCTTTATTTGAGGCGCAGCAAAATAACATGCGACTACTTGTGGAGGCGCTACGCAACCCGCCAGCAATCTAGGAGAAGAATATTGGATTGCCTGAATTCCATCCCGAAAATGCAGACACTGATGCCCGAGCCTGGCTAGCAACTACACACATCTGTTTGTCGGATCGTGATATACAGGGAAGTAAACTTATTCTTATACTTAGTAAGTTCATGAAAGGGCCAGCCGCAACATGGTTATCCCACACAGATTTTCCTAATATAAATGGGGTAGAATTTAAAGATATTTTTCTTTTTTCTCGCTGCGTATGCAAATCGTTTATTTACCTCACTCATGTCACGATAGGGTAATTTCGATAAGGGTAAATTAGGCAAGGAAGAATTGGTGGTATCTGTAATACTCGCTCACATGGGGCAAATCGAACCAAGGTTGCAACGAAATATTTTTTTTATAAAGAATTAATCACTCGCAGTAAGATGCAACGTGAACTTATGGGATTTTCATATCGTAAGCGGAGTTATCAAGATAATTTAAAGACCAGTGCAAATAATATGCAGGATATCAAACGTCCTAGGTTAAGTGTTGCTTCTACAAAATGTTACGCTCGTGGAAAACTTGGCCGTAGATCTTTTGAATGTTTCAGCCGTTCGCATGACAAACAGCAAACAACTCTGACTTCCTATCGCACCAACTATGCCGTGCCCATAACGAGGACCCCCGTGACATGCTACAAGTGTGGTGCTGAGGGTCACGTGGCATGACGATGCTCGAAAACGTGGCCAGTTGCAAACGGCAGCACCCAGCCTGCCACCACATCGAGCAGTAAAACGAGTGGACGTATGCGGTGTGAAACCTGTCACCGGGGTGATCACTCAATTTGGTGAGCAGTTTTCATTTTGCTTTGACTCCGGTGCTGATTGTTCTCTAGTTAAGTAGTAGTTTTATTAGTATCTCACTTAAACTTGATGGTGAAATGCAACATGCAATTGTTACTCTGATAGATGTAGGGAAAATCTAGTGTATTGTGTGATTTACAGGTTTTATATCTGGTTACTCTTTGTGGTCATGACGTACAAATTTTATTTCACGTTATACCTGATGATTTTCTGAGTAATGATATTCTAATTGGACGTGATTTATTGTCTTTAGGGTTTTCTGCACACATATCGAGTGACAAACTTACTATAATCGAAAAGTCGTCTCTTGTTAATATTTGTGACGTAGGTAAGGCTATAACTGACTTCCGATAATGTAGATACCGACATTACGAATAGTTTAAACCGCAATTAATGAAACTTCTTGGCTGCTTCAAGGACTCATTTGTTGAAGGCACGCCTACAAGTAGAGTAAAGACGGGTGAATTAGAAATTAAACTAATAGACCCTTGCAAAATCGTGAAACGTCGGCCTTACTGCTTCGAGTGCTGAGGAACGGGTAAAAAAACGGTACGCAATAAGTGTAGTGAATTATTATCTGCTGGGGTTATTAGACCTAGTAAATCCCCATTTTCTAGTCCCACCTCGCTAGTAAAAAAAGGATGGTTCTGATAAAATGGTCGTGGACTATCGTGTATTAAATCGAATAACTGTCAAAACTAGATATCCTCTCCCCTCGATCAACTACTATATAGATAGGGCTCACTGGTTTAGCACTCTGGATATGGTTTTCAGTTTCCATCAACTTAAGAGTCGATTCATAAGACCGCATCCGTTATACTAGAGGTCCAGTATATTAATATTGCAAGTTACCCTACGGTTTAGCAAACGCGCCGATTTTTTTATCAGAAAAAGAACTCTAACTGAAACCGGTTTTTTCAATAAATTTAAAGAAATGTACTTTTCTTCCTAACGAAATAGAATACCTAGGTAGGATTATAAGAGATGTTCAGGTTAGACCAAGCAATTATAAAATTGATTCATTAGTTAAATCACCGTTATTCGCGAAAACAAAGAGAAACTAGACTCTTATGTTAAACCGAATTTACATTACGAAACAAGTGTCATGCATGATAAAACTAGTTTCGTGAAACTAATTTTAGCACATGTGAAACTTCTTTCGTTTAAATTATAGTATCGTGAAATTATCAGTATCGCGGAGATAAGGCCTTGTCAAAATCAAAGCTGCATTTTATGATGCAAAACGTCGTTGTAGAAATGATAAAATATAAAATAAAAAAAAGGTTATCTCGGAAGAAACGACGTTGGTGGATTCAAGGATGGGTTGAAAAGAAAACATCTGGGTGTAACACAGTTAATCTCTGAATTGGCAGATGAAGATCCTGAAAGCTATGCAAACTACTTTCGAATGAGTGCAAATCATTTTAATTTCTTATTAACTAAAGTGTCCAACAAAATCTCTAAACAGAATACAACATGTCGAGAAGCACTGACAGCAAAATTGAAACTTCAAATAACTTTACGGTTTCTTGTAACGGGAAATAGTTTAAGGTCATTATCGTACGAATTTAGAGTGCCATCTTGCGAAATTTTTGCCGGATGTGCTGGACGAAATATACGAAGAATTGAAACACTAAATTGGGGTAGGAAAAACAGTTTTTTTATTTGGTTAATCAACAACAGTTACTTTGATATACTATTTAATCATTATTATATTTCAATGCTCCCCCGTTATGCTTGAAATTGCTTGTGAAAGAATGTTGTCACTGTATATGTAATACTCGTCTGTATTATTGAGTGACATGGGTGCCGCTAGCTGAAGCAATTGACTCTGTTTCAGAGAATTGGGAAACTTGCTGATCCTCCGGTATAGTGATGGTTTCAATCCTGGTAGACTCCGTACTTGCCGGCGCAGATGATGATGGACCGCTTTGTGATGACGAGTGCTTTGATAATTTAATACGTTGTCTTCTTATTGTTGACAAAATCAACTCCTCAGTTTCGATGGCGGCTTCTAAAGGAAGCTGACGTAGCTGCTGAGCTATAGTACGTCCGAAAAGGTCAAATTCGTCATCGCTCTAACATTAGAAAAGTTCTGCGACGAAAATTTTTCTAACGCATCAACTGCTTTAAGAAGCGGATCTTTTATTTTCCTTTTGTTTCTTGTAGGTGTGCATGGTACAATGAACTCTTCACTATTGGATTCAGAAGCAGAAGCTTCTTGATTGATGTTTGGTGTCTGAAACAAAATATTTAACTAAGTTCTCATTTTCTTTTTTACAGATGCCTGACACTAAAGAAAGTTGGAGAGAAATAATTGATAGATTTCAAGAGAAATGTAATTTTCCACTATGTGGTGGTGCTATAGATGGGAAACACGTTCAAATACGTTGTCCCATGCATTCTGGGAGTGGTTACTATTAATTACAAGGGAACATTTAGTATTGTGCTCCTAGCAGTTTGTGACAGTGATTTAAAATTTAGGTATATCAACGTGGGTCACTATGGTCGAGCTTCGGATGGGGGAATATTTGCTAGATCTTGTTTTAAAAATATGTTAGAGGAAAAGTCTTTGAATGCTCCTGAAGGAATGGTTATTTTGGGAGACCAGGCGTTCCCTTTAACTGAGTATCTTATGACAGCATACAGCCGACGCCTAAATTTATTTAAAAAACAAAAAAATTTCAACTATCGACTTTGCCAGCCGAAGAAGAGCTCGAAGAACCATTGAAAATAGTTTTGGTGTATTAGCAAGTAAATTTCGTATATTTGAAAAGCCTATTCCCTTACTTCCAGAAACTGTGGCCAGAATTATAAAGGCATGTTGTGTCTTGCATAATTGGTTAAAAACTAGATCATCAAATGATATTCAGCCAGGATTAATTGATGAAGAAAATCCAGAAACAGGAGAAATAGTGAAAGGTTCATGGCGGGATATGCCACAGGAAGCATTTAGACCACTTCGCAGTTTTAGTGGAAATCATTCAAGAAATGCTCACCAAATACGACAACATTATAGTGACTACTTTATTGGACAAGGAAGTTTAGAATGGCAAGATAAAATGATTTATTAAATGTAAAAACATTAATATGTGTTTATGTAATGCATAATAGGTATAGAGAATAAAATGATAACTTACCACATTTTCTGTATTTTCTCTGGTATACCCATCAAAACTTTTTAAAAAATCCATATGAGATAACCAAGGTATTTTAGAAACTTATAGGTCTCCAGTGGCCATACCCGAAGTATTACTTTTTTTGCCTTCAAAAGTTCATTATTGTAAGTATTACGAAGTATTCGTATTTTGCTAACAACATCTTTAACAGTTTCCATTTGCATGGCTTCCTTAATTCTTTTGTATGCCGCTTCTCGAGCATCTCTATTTTTATACTGCGGGTGTTTCGGATCCCAAAGACACTCGTTAAGTTGATATGCATTGATAAATTGTATATTTTTATCGCCTGTCCAACGGTGGTTAGCCATTTTTGGTCGTACCTATTTGTCTGCAATCCAACAAAAAACCACACGTCCACTCTGCGCAGGTGCTGTCGCGACACTAGTTTCGCGTCGCATTTACATGATGAAATTAGTTGCATGACATTAGTTTTACAAAAAATATGCGCATGGCACGAAATTAATCCAGTGTGGCGAAATCGATGCATGCGTTACGAAACTGTAAATTTACACGTGAAATTGTTGATGAAATTAATGTCATAAAACTAATTTCGAGCCACTAGTTTCGTAATGTAAATTCGGCTTTAATAAAAAAGAGGAAACCGCCTAAAAAGTTACAAGTTAAGATTTTGGCCCATGTGATTAAGAGCACTCGAAGCACCGATATCTCTTAACTCGATAGCGGTTGAGAGCCCCTCATAAAGTTACTATATGAGGTCCAATTGTTAGCCGGTGCTTACGGAAAGACTAGTCAGGGAGCCGCAGCAAACATAGTGTTATGGAATGCTGAATGGACACCTGAAACATGTGCTGCATTTTTTTGTTTTGTTATTTTACAGGCCTACTAATCCCTCATCTGTCAACAGGTTTCTGGAATGTTGGAGTAAACAAACGCGCATATCAAGTGCCTTCTAGAGCTCCATCGGCTCCTATGTATTTCAATGTGCTATATTGTCTTATCTAAAGCCTCATTTACATCAGCCCCTGCCACTGCTCCTCGCGCTGCCGGCAATACTTCTGTGTATTTACACTCTGTCCTACCACTCACATCAGTTTCGGCTTTCGACTATGGCAGACGTCGAAATAATTACAGCGTCCGCGCTGTGTCTTCCTGCAATACAAAATTATGTTAATAAATTAAAAAAGATATCAAGTTCAAAAGAAGATAGATAGATAGATTTATTTGCTTAAAAACATGGTACATAAGATGATCAATGACGTGGAACTCACATGTTTTGTCATAATTGGCATGCAAAAATGACATGAAATACAGCTAATTACACAAACCCAATGTTATATTTTAAAATTATTGCATTGCTTAAAAGTTAGGTACAAAAATTATTTTTGAATTTAAATATATTGTACAATTAAATACTTATACAGATCCACTCTATTTGAATTCTTATACAGTAAATTGTTCATAAATTATCAATTTGTTACATAAATAATATTAAATATTATATGAGATTAGTTAAGCTATTATAATTTTAATAATTACACTACAGTATAAATTAATTCATAATTTTAATTACAATAAAATTATAATATAGAAATCTCAGGCTATTATGCAAATATTACCATTTAACTTATTTTACATTTTAATAAATAAATAATCAATATGAGTTACTAATCGTTTTTAGAAATAAAATGTCAATGTTCATTAACTCCTTAAACTAAATTTTATATTAATATAATAAATTTGACGAATTTATAATTAATGTACATAGGTACTATGGTATCTCAAAAAGAAAATTGGTATTCGTAGAAGATGATGAATTGTGGTTTTTATCGTTGAAATCCCAATAGTTTTTTCTGATTCCAGCAGTTCTAAAAACTTTATTGTATTTTCATTATTCCACTCGAAAGGCATTTTGGTAGATCGTACTTATTTAATAACAAGACGGCACGCACGTCCGTTCATCCAGGCGCTTTGCGCGAAGTGAGCGATGGAGCTGAATGTGAACACTCACAGCCGCTCGCGCTGCCCGTCCTTTGACTTCCGTACGAAAAACCGACTTTATGCCCCATTTACATTCAGCCCTGTTGGGCAGGGAAGTGAGCAGGGCAGTGAGGAGGGCAGTATGTAAACAGGCTACTCGCGTTGACACTGCCGCTGCCGCTGCCACTGCCCTACGCTCCCTCAAATATCGGTTTTTCGTGCGGAAGTCAAAGGGCGGGCAGCGCGAGCGGCAGTGAGTGTTCGCATTCAGCTCCATCACTCATGGAGGTGGGCAAAGTGTATCATTTTTGCGATTGGAACATTTGCATCTCGATCACTGAAATGTTCCGAAACACTGATATGTTTCTCATTTGGATCATCGACTCAAAAGATATAAAATACAGAATGTTACGAGTACATTGCGTTGCGGGCGTTTATTACTGACCGAGTCAGTGAAATGTTATGTGGCAATAATGTTGAACGAAATAAGTGCTTAGGTTATTTATTGTGTTCTGTAATAAGATTGTATATAAAATCGATTCCCCTTCGTACTTTATCCAGGCTTAGGACTGGCGGCTATTTATGGCCAGCTGGCGTATTTAAAAATCGATTATATTTACAGTGATTTTTTTGATAATATTTACAATCTTTTTTTTGTTTTTTTTTTTCAATTTTTTTTATGGTTTTACTTAAAATTGTAATTTAAAAATAGCATTTTTGAAACCTTATCATCTTTAAGCATTGTTCGACGCATATTCAAAATATGGCCTGCCTTTGAAAAAACGCGTTCGCATGGAACAGATGTTGCAGTAACGCAAAATCTCTTTTTTTGCATGTTGGTGCAGAATAGAATAAATTCCTTTTCTGCTTTCCCACCAAATTAAGGGATCGTGATTTCCAGGCAGCATTTCATCATTTAGATATTTATCTAGCTCTCTTATTCCTGCTGCCATTTGATTTTGCGGTCTGAGATGCTGACTCAGTTCAGCATCAAAATTGTCCCAAAGCGATGCTGATGTTGCGGCCACAGGTTGAGTTGCGGTTTCAGCCATAGTTACAAATGTTGTCTCCGTGGTAATACCACGGGCCGTCTCAGTAGCTGTATTTGCTAAACGTCGTCTTAAGGTCGTTACAGCTACATTAAATTTTTCTTGTTCTCTGAACGCGAAACCTTTGAAGCGCGGATCCAAAATTGTTGCTTCCGCGTACATAGGGTTGGATTCAATATTTTGGAATCTATCCGACAACTGCTGCTTCAGGGTGTCCAATAATAATATTATTTGCGCAGGTAATCCAGTGTCCTCATTAATATGCTTATTCACGTGTTTTATCATAATTTTTGTCAACACAATTACTTTACTTAAAGTAACCTGTGTTTCTGAACTCATCTCTACTGTGACGTTGTAAAATATCTCCAATATTTTAATCGCGAGGTCAACGATTTTCCAGTCTTCCGGTGTTAACATTTCCAGATCTGTGCTGAGTATTGCCACAGTAGGAATTATGGCCTCTTTTAATGTAAGGAATCGATTTAACATATCGTGTGTCGAGTTCCACCGTGTGACAACGTCTTGTTTTAACTTTAATTCTGGAAGACCCATTTGCTGTTGGATTTCTTTTAATTTTGTTAATGCTGATGAATTACTTTTAAAATATTCTACAATAGACTTCACTCTTAAGACAGTATTTTTAATATCTTTTAAACCTGATGTACCACAACAAACATCTGATATGTTTCCAACCGCCCATCCTAATTGCAGTCGAGATATTAGCGGCATTGTCACTTACTACAGCAGCGACTTTGTTTTGTATCTTCCATTCGACAATTTTTGCCTGCAAAGATTGGCACAAATTTTCTGCCGTGTGTCTGTCAGAGAATGAAAAGCAATCTAAAAGATATGATCTCATAATGTAAGTATTATCTAAATAATGGGCGGTGACAGAAACAAAACTGACATTATTTTTCGACGTCCCGGAATCGGTAGTTAGACAGACAGCCCATGCGGAGTCTATGTTAACCTGAACTTTTTCCAAACATTCCTGATACATTTTTGGCAAAAGACTGTTTGATACAGTTTTTCTAGTTGGTAAGCTATAACCAGGAATAATCATGGCGAACAATTCTCTGATTTCTGGTTGCTCTACAAGCGAAAATGGGTGATAATTTTTGACAATTATTTTGATAATTTGTTTGTCGATCTCATTTGTTTTTTTAACAGGCACTGGTTTGTGAATAAATTCTGTCATAGTAGATTGTTTTGGTGGTTCATGAGAAGTTAACGGTAGGGAGATATGTGACGTTGCAGGAGGTTAATGTAGATGGTACTGGGTCTGGTATTGATGTTGATGACTGCTGTTGAATTGTATTCTGTTGTCTGCTTAATTGTATTTGAATTGTAGGATGTTTTAGTCTCATGTGCCTGCTCAAATTACCGATGGATTTATTGGGTATACTCAAAATTTGTGCACAGTAACCACATTTAGCTTTGTTGTCCGTAAGCTCACTAAAATGGTTCCACAATGCACTTCTCTTTCTTGTTGGAGGCATGTTAATAATTTATAGGAAAGAAAATACCTAAATGTCTTAGTTAATATATAGGTTTTATACCTTTACCTTAGAAATTCAGGTACCACAAAGTACGAACACGTAGAATGTTTATATAAATACACATATTATTCACTCATTCACTGTTCACTGAGAGTCCGAGACAAAAGTCACTAAAAACTAGCAAACTAAATCTATTTACACAGAAAAACAATATCTATTTACACAAAGAAAAATATCCATTTAAATAAAACAACAATGTCTATTAACACAGTATTCTCTCATGAAGTCTCATAACCCCAACTTTATGATGAAAAGGACGAAAGTAAGTCGCAATATTAATCACTACGCAAAGAAATCTTTAAACCGATAACTCAGTATGTTTTTATAAACAGGCGCGAACGAACACACAGACAATTTGACAAGTGACATTTCACCATATAGGTCTGTTCCGAACGTGAACGAACGAAACGTTGTACAACATACTGTCTCAAAACATCATTTGACAAGTATACTGCCGCGCCATATGTATCATATCCCCATAATAAATGACAACTTTTTAACCAATGAACATCCAGAAGTTTCACATTTATTCAAACAAAATATTATGGGATTTCGGGAACTGGCCGTGAACTGATTGGTTTTGAGTCGCTTGAATAATGGTTTGAAGTGGATTTTGATTCGTAAAAGTGATGCGATTTTGTGAATTAAGTGTCCACGCGTGTGAACTATTAGAGAAAACGACGAAACAAGTGCTTTGATGTCGATATAAACCTCAAGTTATTTTGATCGCTTGGGCGCCTTATGAACTTGAGTGGCTGTCGTCATCAACTGTCCGCTAGGTTGAGCTACCATCAAAATCTCCCAAGGGCTTCGCAATGTGACGCATCAGCATATTGTGAAGTAAAAGAACATAAAGATACTACGCCGACAAGATAATGGAACGGTCGAATGGTTAACACGTACTTACCGGACATTGGCAGAATTATTGTGTCATTATCACAATACCAAGGGCCATATAGTTATTTAAAAAAAAATAAAAAAAACTTGTTAAATGCAAATATTACATGCAAAAAACGACCGTATATTATTTGATACGTAAGCTCCTTAATGGTCATTTTTACGTGCATGAATAACGATAGCGAAAATCCCTACGAGTTGAGTGATATAGTACTCTTTTGTTATCTCTTTCTGACTTGTATAGATGGTGATTATTTCGCCCGCTCACTCGCCACTCTCTCGCTCACGGCCCAGTCGCTTCGCGAGCGACGCGTCGCGTGTAAAGAGCACAGAGCGAAGTAATGTTCCAGTTTCAGATCCAAATGATGCATTTGAAACGTTTTTACTAAACCAACTCGCTTCGCGAGCAACGCGTCGCGTGAAAAGAGCACAGAGCGAAGTAATGTTTCCGATCCAAATGATGCATTTGAAACGTTGTTACTGAACCAATTTTATGAATCATCGGTTCCGTAAAGAGTTAAGCGGGCTACATACGAGACGATATCGGTGGCGATCTATGGTGGAAAGAAATCGGGGCTTTAATCGAGGCAGACCCTACACACGGGCCTGCCTAGCAGTACTCGTTTGGACTTGGAGCGGAACGCATATTTGGTAGAGTTCTTCAAAATGCCTCCGACTCTCTTAAAACACCAACGTGTTGGTTTGGAATTAGCCATCTTGGTTAATTTATTCGAAAATAGAAAAAGAGGAGTTGCTGAGTGAAAAAATGGCTCCAAAAGAGACAAAAATTAAGCCACATAAACGCACTAAATGGTCTGTAATCCAAAGACATGGTTAATTTTCTCCGGATGGATGAAGACAGTTTTTACAACCTTCTAGAATTTTTCTATATTTATGATTTCGCAACTTATATAAAATCATCAATTTCTCCTACCTATGCTATTTAGTTATTTCTTCTCTTTGTTCATTTCTGCTTTGGTCAAAATCGGGTTATGTACTACACACAACAAACAAAGAAATAAAATACTTTTGTATAATAATATTGTTACGAGCTTGAGGTTCGTGACAATAAAAATTGCCGATAAAATTACCTAAATTAACACTTTAATTTACTTTACACAAATTAAAACTAAAAACACTAATAATTTAAACACACTAATTCGCTTAATTCCGCTCCGAAGCTTCGCTTATGTCGCCAAGTTCAACTCTACTTCGATCGCATCTTGCAGCGCCTACTTATATAAATTAGCAAAATATCCAGAATGTTCAAGTAAACACGCGCAAGGTACCGAGAGTTCGAGTTTTAAACTTCAAGAAGTTTAGTTCTTCGGTTCGAGACTAGATGGCGCTAGTGCGCCGATTTGAGGCATTGGAGCGCGTAACACTGCCCCCTCCTAAGACATGCTCGTCCCGAGCATTATCGGTCCCATAATAACGCGCTAGGCGATCCACATGGACGATCTTAGGAGTCCCTCTTGCGCCTTTCTGTATCCGGTAGGTTACATCGTTGATCCTGGTCACAATCCGGTACTGGCCGTCCCATTTAGCTTGAAGCTTAGGAGATTTCCCTTTGCTGCGGACTGGATTGTGCAACCACACAAGTGAACCTTCGTCGAACCCTTTGTTGTTCATTTTGCGGTCATACCGGGTTTTCATCTTTTCAGACATTTGCTGGCCCGATTGTCTGACGTGCTCATAAACGTCATTCATTTTGTTCCGCAAGTCATTTGCATAATCGGTTATACTGCGTGGAGCATCAGGTGGTATCCCGGTGATCAGGTCTGCAGGCAGCCGTAATTCTCTTCCAAAGTTTGCGAAAGCTGGTGTCACTGCTGTACTTTCGTGAACAGCGCTTCGATATGACAACAAAAACGGTTGTATGTGCTTGTCCCAATCTCGTTGCCGATTAGACAATCGACAACGACACTTTTGCTAGGTACCTCTCCAATGTCTGATTAAATCGTTCTACCATTCCATCAGATTGCGGGTGATAAGAAGTCGTTCTTGTTTTATGAGTACCCATAACTCGGCAAGTTTCCTGGAATATTTGAGACTCAAAATTCCTTCCTTGATCGCTGTGAATCTCTAAAGGTACACCAAAACGACAGAAGACTTCATGAACTAGCTTATCAGCAACTGTTGAAGCTTCTTGATTTGGAATGGCGAAGACTTCTGGCCACTTAGTGAAGTAATCCATCACAACCATGAAATACCTGTTACCGCTTTCACTCTCCGGAAACGGCCCCGCCACGTCAATGGCTATTCTCTCCCATGGTGCACCAACATTGTACAACTTCAATGCACCTCTACTACGAGTCTGAGGTCCCTTTACAGCCGCACAACTTGTACATTTGCGACACCAGTCCTCGACATCGTTTCGACAGTCGACCCAGTAAAACCGTTCTCGGATCTTCAGTAGAGTTCGTTTAACTCCCAGATGGCCTCCTGAATAATCATTATGGTACAGCTGTAGAACATCCGGTACTTTAGCTTTAGGGACAACCATTTGTAAATGACAGCTGTCTCCCCGAACATTTTCCCATTTACGGCACAGAACTCCATCCTGAAGCAGCAAGCTGTCCCACTGGGCCCAATAGCTTTTAGTGGTCGAACTCATCGCTGATACGTTGCTCCACTTGGGCTTGGGAGCACTGGCCTTCATCCATTCCAGGATCGTCTTGATGTCCGGATCTTCCTGCTGTGCACGTTGTAAGCTGTCCTTCCACTCGTTGCTGAGGTGGGCTGCCCTGAGCATCCTCACGGATACCACTTCCTTACTCTCTTGCCTAGTACAATGTTTGCAATCTTCAGGACAAGGTCTTCTTGACAATGCATCTGCGTTGCCATGAGATTTCCCGCTGCGATGTTCGATCTCGAAGTCGTATTCCTGCAGTTCAATCCACCTCGCAACTTGTCCTTCTGGATTTTTAAACTGCAATAGCCATTTTAGTGCAGCATGGTCAGTTTGTAAGTGAAATTTTCGCCCCAGAAGATATTTGCTAAAATGCTGCAACGACTGTACCACAGCTAGCAATTCGCGTCTTGTGACACAGTAGTTCCTTTCCGGTTTTGACAACGACTTGCTGAAGTACGCTATCACGACCTCTTGGTCACCATTCCGTTGAGACAACACACCGCCAAGTCCTATATCACTTGCGTCTGTGTCAACTATAAATTCTTTGCTTGCATCAGGGTATCCCAAAATAGGTGTTTTGCACAGACGGTCCTTGAGCTCCTGGAATGCGATATTGCAACTTTCATCCCAGCAGAAATGTCGCTTCTCCTCGGTTAGCTTGTGCAGAGGTTTGGCTATATCTGCAAAGTTCTTCACAAATCGCCGGTAATAGGAGCACAAACCCAAAAATGCTCTAACCTGCGTCTTGTCTTTTGGAACCGGCCAATACTTGACAGCGGCGATTTTCTCTGGATCTGTGCGGATACCTTCTTCCGATACTACAAACCCCAAAAAGTTAACTTGCCGTTGGAATAGTGAACATTTCTTCGGGCTCAACTTGAGGTTGGCACTCTGAATCTTCATGAGCACGCGTTCCAGGTTTTGAAGGTGTTCCTCAAACGTACGGCCTATGATGATGATGTCATCCAAGTAGACCAGACAGGCATCGCCAATTAGCCCGGTAAGTACAAGTTCCATCAGCCTTTCAAACGTTGCTGGAGCATTGCACAAACCAAACGGCATTACTTTAAATTGCCACAGACCCTTTCCCGTCGAGAACGCAGTTTTCTTCTTGTCCTTAGGGTCAATTTCAACTTGCCAGTAGCCACTTTTTAGATCCAGCGTGCTAAACCACTTTACTCCTGTAAGCATGTCCAGCGTGTCATCAATTCTTTGCAAGGGATAGCTGTCCTTCTTCGTAACGTCGTTTAGACGGCGGTAGTCAACACAAAACCGCATGCTGCCATCCTTCTTCTTCACCAGCACCACTGGTGAACACCATGGACTAGATGAAGGTTCAATAACACCATCCTTCACCATTCCCTCAATTATGGTTTCCACTTCCTTTTCACGTGCTACCGGCAATCGT